GTCAAAGCTGCAGCCTCACTTTGAACTAGATGATCGTCACCGAATGGAAACAAGGAATCCCCGACGGGCATATTGAAATTCGACCAGGATTATTCAACTGTACAATCGCCAAATTATCCGTAGACTACTTGACGCATTTCCCGCTTGCTGTAAGGTCACAGAATGTGATAGCTGTGTTATGGCGGTTTCAACGAACGAGACGAGAGAGGATTTGTGTTCTAAATAACTTGCAGGAAGCAAGTAATTAGAGCCATATAGATAGGCAAAACAGGCCTTGAGTCGCGAATCACTTAGGGTACATAGTCAACTGGTATGAGATGCCTTTTACCGAGAGTCAACGTACACTAATACCCAACAATATGTTGACAAACTGGGAGTCTGAGCGGCAGTGAAGATTGCTTCTTCATAAGATGTTTCTTGGCTGCCGACCACCTGTTGATCTAGAGCCTGGTAAGACCGCCAGTGTACACAATGTGGAAAAGAAGCCTCAAAGTTGCCAAATTGGGGAATGATCTTAGTCCTGAAATATGACCTTTTAAGTGATTCTGTATATGGTATCTGCTATGCTGTCTAGACAGTATGGCTCATTGAACCACAAGGCTCATTGAGAACAAATTCGTGGAAACACATTGCACACAGATAAATCCAGCATTTAGGTTGATTGATTAACACAGAATTCTCTCACACTTGCCAGAGTTTCACTTGGTCCAGTGAATGAAGTCAACATAGACATAGAGAGGCCAGTGTTATACTCCTACAGCCCTGAAACTCACATAAATTCCCTATCCTCCACCCTGTTCTTCTCTTCACATCCATCTCATTTTCACTTCTCAGTCCACACACCTACCCTCCACAGTCTAGGTCTCCGGTTGAGACCCCTCTACTGATAGCAAAACAATCCTTCAAAGAATGAACCTCGACACGTCCTTCCACATTGACCCGACGGGACCGGTCCTCGCACTTTCTTCCTTCACTCCCATCAACACCGAAATGGACGTCGCTGAGATCAAGGCAGAGAACGACAAGTCGAACAACGTGGTTCCCGGAGCCGCAGAGGTAAGCAGCACAGTCCCCTTCTAAAGATGCAGCAGCCTAACACCACACAGGAACAACAGCCAACCTCGGCCCCAGCAACCGCGACACCTCGCAAGCGAGGCCGGAAGAAGGCCGCAGACGGCGCAGACGGCGACGCAGACGCAGACGCGGACAGCACCGAGACCCCAACCAAGAAGGGAAAGACTTCGCCCAAGAAAACCTTGGGTCCTATTCCGACCTCTTTGGAATCAGCCGGGTTGGCCGACAGGATGGTTCTGCGGATGAGAGACGAGGAAGGCCGTAGCTGGTCTGAGATCACCAACGTCTGGACGAGAATGACCAGTATCAAGGTTGAAGGGAGCACGCTGCGGAAGCGCTACACGGCCATGAAGGCGAACTTCGTCTCCATCAGTGCAGAAGATGTAAGTGACCTATCCAGCTTGAGCTTGATTTTGTGCCCTGTGGGTAGAGACTGAATGAGGATGTGCTTGTCTGCCTTTAGGAAGCCAGGATTCTCAAGGTGAAGAAAGAAGTCGAGGAGAAGTTCGAGCAGGAGAAATGGCATAAGATCGCCGAGGGTGTTGCTGCCGATGGAGGGAGCAATTACCCTGCGAATGCGATCCAGAAGAAGTTCAAAGAGCTGAACAAGAGGGCTCAAGCTGCAGCTGCAGCTGAGACTGAGGACTGAGAAATCGCTCTCGTGTATGGAAAGCAAGATTAAACAAGTTGCGAAGCGCGCTTTTTCTTTTCAGTTAATTCGGCCGAGGGAGGTCCAAAGGTGGTAATGGGCGTACAGGTACAGAGAATGGAGTTGAACTTGGAATTTTGTGGATCTCGGTAACCAGAGACGAGAATCAAAAGGACAGGCAGATAAAATTCATCATGGTAGTTCGAGGCCCAGCTCAATGTGACACMATATACACCAGATACCCCGGCATTAAATCATCCAACCAAGAAGCATCTATTTTATGCCAGAGAAAGACAAAAAAGATCAAGGTAGCCAGGCCAATCACAAGTAAGAAAATGAGCTGCAAAAGTTTAACGCGCCTCCACAATCTTACAGGACACTCACTTGCTGGCGCCCGTCATGCATTTGCCAGCCTAGATCGCTATTCCTTGGATCATTCGTAGATTCATCACTATTCGTGCGTGTCGTTATGCTGGGTCGAATCTTCGCTCCGACAAACCCGCGTCGGTCCCGCCCTGTCCGTCCACGTCCGAGCCAGTTGTGTTTCAGTGCTTTGCTCAGAGTTTCAATCTTCTCTTGCGCTTCATCACGTGTCTGCACACTGGCCAGCACACTGAGGCATTGTAGCATCCGCCCGACAGTCTCAGTGATGAGTTGGGAAGTATCTGCCGTGTGTGAGGCCCTGTGAATGACAGTCGCGCGTTGATTTGGAGATGAGAAGGACTGGAAAATAAGTTGGTCTGGGTTGGACGAGGTGTTTGATGCAGCACGGCTGCGATTGCTCATCGAGTCTGAGGAGTAACTGCCCGCCGCATTGAGGAGTGTAGACGATTGAGAATTGTAGCTGCCAAAGCCAGCATCGAGAGAGGCGGCAGTGGCAGGTCGGCCGCTATTGTTACTGCTCTTTGTTGTAATGCTGAGAGCTGACGAGCCCACATTGATGCTATCAAGACTCAAGCGAGAAAATGTAGCTTTTAAGCCTTCATAGCGTTTTAGAATGACCATGTCACGGAAAGCCACCAGGACCAGATGTCGAACTTCGAGCTCATTTTCAAAGTCCTTGCCAGTCGGTACGGAGTTCCAGAAATCCTTTGCTTCCCGTAGATTCATCACTGAACCAGCGCCTCGAAACTCTAGATCGAGAGGCAAAAATACAGCCTGTATAAATGGAAGAATGGTGCCAAAGACCAGTAGCCAGATCTGCACCAAATGAGGGACCAGTTTCTCGTCAGGCACTCCGTTCAGCGTATGATTTAACGAGGCACATCCTGTCTCAAGTAACTCTCGTAAATCGTCGACAATGGCGGTTGGCGTGCGCTTCTGCACGCAGCGTTGAATGTGGATAAGGACCAACTTGTTCAGGTCCTCAATTGCTATACGAACGTCCTCACCATCAAATATAACCAACAGCTTCGCCTTCAGGAAATCCCAGGCATCATCCGGAGTCATATTGTGGAGTCCGAACCCCGACAAAGTCTCCCGAAGGGCAGCTTCGGGCAAGATTCCTGCCGAGTTTCCAAGGGACGACGGCCCCGAAAAGACAGCTGGCGTAACGCCACTAACCACCAAGTCTTGCTCTATTTCCTCCCTCAGCTTCTCCTCTTTCTTCTTTTCTCGAAGCGCCCGACCACCGTGCAAGAGGTCCAACCCGCCAACAGTTTTGCTGAATGTAGTTGACCCTGCGTTAGGAGACGCTGGCGTAAAAGAATAAAGAGACTGTGGTGCGTTGGGATCAGACGGTTTGGAATTGCTAGACGCTGAAGACAGAGGAAGGTTGTAATGATCGTCCCTGTCCTTCAGTTTGAGTTTCTGCCTTGACAGGAAATGATGCTTGTGGGCTTTGTCCTTGTCCTTGTCCTTATCCTTCTCGCTGGGTGTCTGCCTGTCCGCTGGCACTACCGTACTCACGGATGCATTCGATAAGCTATACATCGACGAGTTGTTTGAGGGCAGCGTATCTGTCGAGCCGCTGACGATGCGTGATAACCCACTCGAACCCGGAAAGCCCATCTTGCTTGGTGATGGCATACCTTTATCTTTCCCGTAAGAATCCTTGTCGCGACTGATTCCAATATGCTTCGGCTTCGAAAACAACTTCATCTTGGGCTTATCACCCTTCTGCTTCTGCTCACGCTCTGGCTGCGCCTGATCGCCAGACATCCCAGGTTGAAGCGCAGGTCCCCGTGGAAACACCACGTTGGCAGCTGTTGTAGCTGCAAGGGCATTTCCGCCAACAATCCCATTTTGATATGATTGCCCTGAGGTAGCTCCGGAGCCAGGGGCTGCCAGCACTGGTTGTGGTGGAGGTGGAGGTGGCGAGATGCTTCCACCCCTTCGGGCCTTCGCTCCGTCATCGAGACCCTGAATGTTGGTTGGCAATCGTTTCGGCGGGTGTTGCACAGCGGAGGACTGCTGCTGCATCGCAGTCTGCGCTGCGATTCTTGATGCGGAAAGTGTGACATCTGATAGGGACGCTGTCGGGAGGGATGGCTCGAAGAAGCCTTGCGAGTGGTGTCGTGGCCGATGCCTCGACAGATCGGGCGCGACGACGCGACCGGAAGTCTTCCTGCTGGTCATCTCATTCTGGGGCATCAAGGATGAGGCGGACGGGCGCCTGGAGTTGTCGTCTGTTGTGCCACTGCCGTTAGTGCACGAAGTCCGGGGTATCCGGGGAGACGAAGTGCCTGGCGCAGCACCAAAGTCGTTGAGGGAACTCTGAATTGCAGACACAGTGGTCACATTGGATGCAACTGAAGAGGCATCACTCCCAGAGGAGCCAGGTCGTTCTAGTTCGTCGTCAAAGGATGGGCGCGGTGGAGCTGGGGATCGGGAGGAGGTGCGCTCAGGTGGGATTGGAGAGCGTAACATCATAGAGGACGTGTCCGGAATGAGACAAGACGAGTTGTGTTTAGTCAGTAAGCAGTTTAGGCATCACAAATTTGCCCCCATGATCCCTTTTCGAGGTAGTTTTCATTCCCGATCTTTCTAGTCCTCGACATACGTAGGTACCTGGTCCAGATCAGCACCAAGAAATGAGGGACAATGCCTATCATCGTCGATCTCAACGTCGACTGGGCCTGAGCTGCACTTGAAACAACGCCGCCTTTCTCATCTTGGCCCCGCCCGCCCAGCAACTCACTTTCTTTTGAATTTCCTCCATTTTGCAACCTCACAGTCCAAGGTTCTTGTTGAATTGAACATTGTCTCCACCAACGTTCTTTTTTTCGAAACACACATCAAGAAAGAAAACTCCTATTTGCTTTGCGCTATCATCATCATGGCCTCCACCAATTCTTCTCAGCAAGTCCTCCGCGCTGTCTACCAATCTCCTCAGCCGTCGACACGCACATTCGAATATCAGCTTTCCTCCCCCATCGCTTCCTCCAATCCCTCAGCCGAAAACACGAAAGTTAAGGTGGCTTATCTTTCCGAACTCAGAAGTCTGGTACCGAAGTTGCAAGAAGAAATCAATGTCTTTTTAACGGAACGAATGGAAGAAGATAAGAAGGAAGCGGAAGCACAAGGACGTCAGTTGTCTGCGAAAGAAGCCAAGGAAGAGGAGAACTACGGTGAGGAGGTGGTCGAGGAGGATACTTAAAGCTTTTCTTGCATATAACAGTACATTGGTCCGAGAAATCAGGAATGGATCTCTTCGCCGGAGCCAATCTTCCGTTCTGCTACACGACGAGACCGAACCACGACGCCGCCGATCATTCAAATTCAATCGAATCCTTGGACATTCATGCTATCCTGGGGTATCACATTGCCTGAAGCTCCCGCCATATTATTCACATTTCCACGCTTCGCACTGAATTGAGACACCAGAAGGGAAGAACCAGAGAAAAAGGAGTTAGATGTGGGAAAACAACATCAACTCTCGAGTATACAGTAGAAAAGAATTAGGGAGAGAGGGAAGCTTTGCGATTGGCACAGCCAAGATGGACAACAGTATTGCTTCGAAAGTCAGTGAGAGTTTGTGGAAGACGGATGGGAAGCCACCACAATGCTTGATGGACTGAGAGACTTACTCTGGGAATACGTTGATCACACTCCCACCAAGTCGCTTATGGCAGATCCCACAGATCCTTTCTTCTGTGATCGTGACATGCCTCGACCTGGACGCCTTCCCGTCGCCACCTTCGCCGACCAATAGCTGCGCTTGTGTCTTGATACTCTGCGACTTTTGCAGGTTGGCCACAATTCTGGACTCATTGAGTATAGAAGTTGCCGCTCGCATACGACCTTTGAAATAGAATTCAAGTTCCTTGACTGGCAGTGTTTCCGGGATTAGTTCAAGAGCCGAGTTTGGAGGAAGGCGGGATCCATGTTTTGCGAGCACCTCTAGCGCGGGTCCATATCGTGGTTTGTATCCATGCGGCGGAGACAAGTAAAGAGATAAAAGTGTTAGGTATATGGAAGGCTTTTCTCCCTCAAAATCCGGAAGGGCTATATTTTGTATAGCCGTCGTCTCTGTGCTCGTGGCGTCTTCAGTCTTGTGAAGGTGATTGCAGTACCTGCGGACGAGATCTTAGCAGTGGCCTTGCTGGGCTCATTAAGTAGTAAGGACTGACTCTTCTGCTTTGGCATAGTCTTCCAGTTTGAACACATATATCTCTAGCGCTTGTCTGTGTTGTCCCATCTTACTGAAAACGATCGCTCTTGCCTCGAAAAACTCGGGATCTGTAAAGATAAGTCAGACCAACGTATGCACCCCCAACGACTGGCGGCCCTGTACTTACCATCTCGGTTCAGACGGTCAAGAATCTTCGCCGGCGAGTACTGAGAGCTTGTCCTTAGCATGTCCAGCAGCTTGTTCCGCCAATCAGTCCTGTCTTCTTCACTGGCGAACTCCCATTCTTTGTTCTTTTGTTCCTCCAAGCGATCCAGATAAAGGCTCAGGAGGCTCTGATGGAGATCCGGAGTCATGTCATTCAATTCTCCAATGACATGCTCAAGATACCGAACAGCCAGACGGACATCAATCGCTTTCAGAAAACCTAGTACTCGATGACGAGGCAATGTTTCCGCGTTCTCAGTATCCGCAAGGAAAATTTCCATGCCCAGGTCAGGGTCTTCACGCATCGGCCACTCGGCAAATTCTAGTATCAAATCAATATGTTCGGGAGACAAATTCTGCAGATAGCCAACAGTTCTTTTCGGACCCTGAAGTTGGGACGCAGTCTCTCCGTCCATTTCGGCTTGGCCAAACTTTTTCAAGAGCTCCAGAGCTTGACGATGCATCTTTTTCCCGTAGAGGAAGTCAATGAGGTCGTTTTGGCGGCCACTTTCCTCCAACTTTTCAATAACCACGTCAGGATCACAAAAATTGGCGATACGAAAGAGGGAGCCAGCAAGAGACGGCGTCGCATACATATAAACCCGGAAGAGCGTTGTGTCGACGAGTTTAGCTTTGGCTCGAAGCCTGTCACCAAAGTCATCTTCGCCTTGATCTTTGTCCAATTCAAGCAACTTCACGACGGATTCAGTAAATTCATCTTTCACTGTATCAGCTGTAGGGTCCGTCTTGAGAGAACCATCCGGGTTCAGGAACCGCTGGAATCGCCGGCGAACATCCGCCAGGTAAGCTTGGAGTTCACGAACAGCAAGCTTGAGGTCTTTTCCTTCAAGGCGTTTGTCGCCCCGAGAATCTTCCATGAGCTTGCTGCGGATGCTGCCTGCATCGCTGGCATCATCTGTCTTCGTTCGAAGGAGGGACCTCACTGAGGGTGTATTTGCGAGCGTTCTGGCAAGCGCAGCATCATCCGACGTAGCAGGGACTGTGTCTTGCTTCTGCTCCTGTTCGGGCCTTGGCTGACTATCCGTCGTACCGGTCTCCGATCCCTCTTGCTCGTCCGGAATGGACGAGAGATCGCCCGCTATAAGTCGCGGGTAAAGTCGAATGACGGTTTCGGGAGGAGCTGAGATCTCTGTGAAGAGCTCCATAGACTCGAGGTATTTTCGGAGGGAGAATAACGTCTGCGCCTTTTCAAGTTTGATGGAGCGTAGACGACCATATTTGTCCGTGAGAAGTGCATCCTCAAGCATATTAGCGAGGCTGATCGCCTCATCCAAATATCCCTTTTCCACGAGAGTGTCAATTTGAGTGTCGTAACTCAAAGCCTCCATTCTCCAGATGATTCGATCACTAGCAACCAGGAACCCTTTGCCAGCGTGAGCTAAACTGATTGAGGGTTGAGGGATGTGCAGGAGACTCGCTGATGGTAATGGTATCGATTGGAGTAAGCTCAGGGTTTCAGGATTTCGAACCTCCAGCACTCCCTTCGCAGAGTCATGCAGTGCCAGCAGAAAAGGATACGAGTACCCAATGTCGGAAGGGGCATGGCTCCATGGAATCTGCCTTCTTCCCAACGAATTGCCCTCGATATCAATAAATTGAGTGTTGATATCCTTCGCCAGTAATACTTGCCCTTCGCTTAGGCGTGTAGCCAGCGGTTTCGGAGCAGTTCCGCCAATCCCAATATAGCTCATGCTAGCGACGCCAACACCAGCCAGACGCCCTGTTTCCTGTCCGGGTAGTCCACCAATGCTCCCCGGTCCGACCAGATCTGTGACATCTGTGTTCTCAATATCCACCATGACGAAATTCGAGCTCAGCCCAGCGACGAGCTTTGTCCCAGAGACCCACGTGAGCGTTTTTATCCCACTAGCCAGGCTCATTTCCGCCGTGTCGTTCTCCAACTCCATATCGCGCCATGTCCACAGCAGGATCTTTCTCTTAACCGCCACGGCAAGGCGCGATACAATCGACGGGACGCCAGTCTCCGGGTCGTGAACTATGTTCGAAGTTACAGCAAAAGTGGTCGCGCCTTTGGTCCTCGTAAGCTGCTCTTGGAACTCGTAGGTCTGTAAGTCGTGAATCGATACGTATCCACCGGAAAGCGAGATGAGAAGCTTGGCCTCCTTGATCAACACCAACTGTTCAACTTTATGCCTGGAAAATTTTTCCAACTCCCGAAGTAGCTCGCTCTGTTTAGGCTTTGGGTTCGTGACGGAGCTCATGGTCGCAGGCCTGCTGTCCCCGTTATTCATCGTACTTCCACCCCCTTCACCCTCGGCATGATGATCATCCTCCGCTTGCCTGCCATTGGAGACCTCGTTGACCCTGTATATCCGCAAGCTGCCATTGTTCAGTCCTACCAGAAGGCGGTCCCCATAAGCAAGGACCGACTCAATTTTCGATTTGTCGCGTTGTTTGAGCTCGACGAGCGGCCGAGCCGTGAAAGCGGATAACATGGCTCGGCGGCGAGCTCCTCTGATCGGGCCTCTTCACCACTGAGAGCACAGTCCAAATTCATGTCTAATTAGAAGAAATGAGGGGTTGAGCGCAGCTAAAATGCTGCTCTGGCCATGGCGTCTGTGGTTTGGAGCTACCTGAATTCGCTGGGAACACCATGTCCCCCGTAGCGACGCTTGTTTCCCGCCCTCTCATGTGACAGAGCTGGCTCTCACCGTCTTTTACCTCAGCCAATCATATCGCTACTGATGAGCGTTTCTGCCTGCACTTCATCTGAAGACGTCATAAGGTACCTTGAGCACTGGCATTGATTAAGGAATTGGGGATCTACAGTCATTATCCTTGTGCATTCAGCGATATACAGTTCTAAAATAGATGAGACCTATATGTGACAGGAAAGCACCTTGCGCTTCAAGTGCTTCTGGATATCTGAAGAACTCCCCGGTTGTTGTCGGCGACCAATGGACTAGACAGGAGTCACAGGACGACGGGCAGGGAGCTATGCATTGAGGAGAGAACAATTGAAACAGCGCAAGGCGGGGGCACTCAATCATATCGTGCCGCCCATTAGATAGTCGGACGTTGCAGCATCGGTACAACCGGTGTTATCCACTGAGTCGACTGATCGTTATGTTMGAAAATAGAAAGCACTGTCTAGTAACGACAAGGCCATCCTGAGACGGAGAAAAGCTTGCTGGTCTTGACAACCAGACATGAGACTTTGAACATTGTGGGTAAAGGATGAGGCACAGCCTGCGAGAGAACTGAACAAGCCCAAAAAAGCCGGAAAAGAATGTGTATATATATTTGCGCTTCAATGCTTTACTTCGGTGGGAAATTCCTGATGCTTCGCTGAGGTGCCCTTTGCACGCCAAGTGGAGACAGCGGGGATGTCAGCTTTGAAGCGCTGTTCTTCGGTGCCGTACGCACGTGGCGTGAGCTTGATCAACGTATGAAGAGGAACCTCCATCCATGGGCTCTGCTCCTGAGGAATGTTGAGGAAGTACGCATAGATGCAACGCAAAACGGCCTGATGAGTGACAATAATGACATTTTCACTGCGCTCCAGTTCCATGATGATTGGTTCCAGACGAATGACAACGTCACGGTACGACTCGCCACCTCGGTAACGATAGTTGTACTTGTCTTCATCGCGCGCTGCAAAGTCATCGGGATACCTCTCTGCAATCTCCTCGTACGTGAGCCCGTCACAGACACCGGAGTCAAGTTCGTCGAGAGCTTTCCACTCTAACTTTTCGTAGCCTGTCTCGCGCGCCAGGTGCCGGGCAGTTTGTATCGTTCGTTTGAGAGTGGAAGTCCAAATGACGACTTTGGTGTTAGGAGGAACTCCTGACTTTCGCAGAAGACCGGGAAGAGCTCGAGCATAAGCTTCGCCGCGCGGTGAAATGTTGGAGTCTCCGCCAATTTTTCCCGTGAGGTTATATTCCGACTCGCCATGCTGAACAACAGTTAGCACCACTTAGTCATATATGCTTGGGTATCACTCACGCGAGAAAGCCAAATTGAGCGAGGCTTGATATGTAGGTTCTGAATGTAGTACACCAATCGACTAGAAAGATAGTCTTTTATTTGGTTGATGATGACAGTGGAGCCGACATTGATGAGTTTTACATATGTGAAATGTTTCTCATTATCATCAATGGTTTCGTAAACTTTCTCATAATTGCGGATGCGGTTTCGAAAATCCATGGCGGCTACCTCAGGATCCTGTCCTTTGTAATCCGGTGAGGTTGTTTTGACTTCGAGGATATTATTCATTATGAGGTCCTCGTCGTCGCATATTGACTCGACAAACAGAGTTTCAATATTAGCATCGCGACAAGTCTCGTAGATCCACCGGCGTCGCGATTTTGTGGAGTTGGTCGCATCAAGAATAGCTACAACGCCTTTGCCCGCTTTGAACCAGTTGAGCATGTCTGACAATGCCGCCTCTGCAGCGGCTCTCCTCATTCTCTCCCCCTCGGTGTTATGAGGGTCAAAAAAAGTAGCCGTTGGCTGCGGAGTTCCCTGTCGACGATAGGTGCCCACATTGAACACTTTCGCTGGAATACCAACCCAAGCAAGATACCGCATCGCTAGATATAATATCGTCAACCCCCTAGCTTTGATAGTCAAAAGAAAGAGGGTTTACCTACCCTTTCCAGCTATGAGACTCTTGCCCCGGGCTGGAAGACCAACCATGACCACACAAATTCTTGTTTCATCTGACTGTAGATGCGTGAGTTAAGTGATCTTATGGGAAATCGTCCAATGTCTTTCTGGATGTCGGTTCCAGGAGCATTCTCGCAGTAATTGACGCCAGGTAAAAAGAGGGGGGGAATAGGACCCTCAGAGAGCAAGGGCAGTAAATATCAACCAACAAAAAGGAGGCTTTTCGAAACCATAGTCCGGGAGTAAGAGATTGATCGCGCTTGTTCTCTGCCTGCGGCGCCCTCCTTTTTCTTTTCCGTTCAATTACTCTTGTCATTTCGTGCCAATGCGCCTTGAAGATAGTTGAACCCCTGTCAAGGAAGCAAAAGCGACATGACAGATACGTACACAAGCTCTTATGGCTTAAGCACATCCCATACTCCAAGAATGACAAGCCGTGAACGAAACGCAGCACAAGGAAATAGCAGCACTTACACTGGCGGGGAAGCTCTTGTGACCAGAGCCTCTCGGATTAGAGCTCCCAGAAGTCATTTTAGCAATCGAACAGTCTTTCTGTTAGAAATTTCCTATAATATTATAACCCAGCACGCCGGGGAAATAGCTTCTAGCCTCGGCCAAGAGTCGCCCCGACCGGACAGACAGCCGAATTAAAGGTCGTATGAATTTCTGGCGAAGCAGGACAGCAAAGTAGGGGCGAAATTTCTTCAGCTTATCGCCTGAGAAATCGACGGTATATTTTCCTCGAATAAGATGATGACAGATCCGGCTGTCTTACAGGGGATTCGTTGCAGAGATCTCAAGAATTGTAACTGGCTGGATCACATTAAGCCCAACAGTCGATGCGGTGAAGAAGCAAAAGAACAGCACAGACGTCATGCCGCGGGGCAGTGAATGCCCACTCCGCTGTAATAGATGAAGCAGAAGTAGGTAGATGGTCTCTTGAAAGCCCCTTTTGATGAGTGTATATTCATACAATTGAGGGAATTTTCTAAAGCTGAAGAAAGGATGACATCCACAAATGGTACCACGTGATGCTCTTGTTTTCGTCGGGTAAAGTCGCAACCGTTACTGGCCATCTTCCAGCTCTAACCAGACGGAGCAAACGGGCAGGTGACAAGCCTACTTTTTCTACCTAGGTTCGTGCGCCGTCGAATTCTCGCAAAGAGAAGGAACAAAGTCGGGTTGTCTTTTTCTTACTTGCAGTTTGAATTGTGCATTAGCAGTACGATGTACAGGCAAGAGACTCTGGGGTACTCAGGCATATTGCAGGGATTACATTGGTCTATAGTATCTCTATCGGAGCAAAGGGAATCTGGATCTGGGGGCGTGGGATGCGGTTAATGCCTGAAATAACTGTTTTTGCCGGTTGGCTCTTACCGCTTCTATCACCGCATTTGGTTGGTCCAAGTGGCCTGATTCAAACCTGACCGCCCTGTCGCTAATCACATATCCCTTTCACATCGCAGCAATAAGGGTTGATTCCGTGTGCTGACACAGTGAGATGACTCTCATCAAATAAAGGCTTCTTTCAATAATGCCAAGGGATTTACAGTCTTTTTCAAGGTCTCTTAAGTGTACAAACGCTCTTTGCGCCAGTTGCAGGCGACGGCGGAGTAACATGGTATAGTATGTTGTTTCACTAACTACATCCTCTCGAGGTGGTGTGTCATCCTGGGGGTTGAGATTCCCCTTGATGCTGTGGATCATCCAAGAAAGCATGTTTCCTCCGTCCACCGCAATGCGGGGCGTTCAAGCTTGGAACATGAGTATGGGTAGACGCAATAACCAAATTCTTTATCCCCATCTCCAGCATGTCTCGAAACTGCAGTTGCTTTGTCGGCAAAGGCGATGACAGTTGATCGTCTGGCAATGCATGTCAAGGCAGCTTTCGTCGATGGACTTCCAATATGAGCGGATTCGCATGTGCGACGATCTATCTCGACCAACAATATCTGAGTGAGTCGATTATACACCGACAGTAATATCGTTGGTAGCCGAGGCACCATTCGAATCAACGTGTGCAGATGACCACTTGTTTCTCCTTTCGTCAGAGTTACTAGTCTCTCCACGGGCTTTCTGCACGCGAAGATTCGCCCCCCAGGGACCTTCCTGGCCGTTCAGGGTGTCCATGGCGTTCTGAGCCTCTTCCGTGCTGCTAAATTCAACGAACAGGTAGTAGTGGTCACCAGGCTCGAATCGCTTCGCAGGATGAGGTGTGAACAGTTTGCTGACATTTTCACTTTTTGGGAAGAAAATTAGCCTTGAAAAGGCAATTCCATAGAGGGGAATTGCGGACATACACCTTGTATCCCTTGAAGAAGTTGGTAATATTTGTGGTGATAGCCTCAGGGTCGGTTAACTTAGGAAGACCGCCGACATAAAGGCGACGGCTAGAGTCGCTGTTGACCTTAGCGAAGGCGGGCGCGTCATTGCGTCTCCAGCGATCAAGAGCAAACGGGCTGCCCTTGTCGCTGCGAGGCGAGCTCTCAGTTCGTTGCTGTTGTTGTTGTTGTTGCTGCTGCGAACGCTCGCTTGCCGTTTTGGCTACTCCAGGTTTGATCTTGACAGGCCGGCCAAGCATATCACGGCCGTCCAATTCGGTCATTGCTTGATCCGCCAATTCCTTGGTCTCCAAATCGACAAAACAGTAAGAGGGATTGCGGCCGGTGAAAGGGTCTATCGCGATATCGATCCGCTCGCTGCAAAGCACTCAGTTTTGGCCATCTCCATACAAGAATTTCTGTCTCCGTACATTGGGAAGTTTGCGGCGGTGAACAATGCTTGCACATCCTCCGACTTGGCCGTGTACGGCATGTTGCCAACATATAGACGGCGGCCTTCAGAAATAGCTTGAGGCACCTGAGAGCTTGGTCTGCTGGATGTGAGCCTCGAGGTATTTGTCTTTGGCCCGGGCGAGCCAGAGCTCTGAGCGCTCGGGCTTTCCTCGCCCTTCATGCGCCAATTTGGCGAATTGAAAGCGCGACCTGATGTTCTAACACCATTTTGGAAAGGCGATCTTCCGGGAGCTATGGACTCATCAGTCATTCCGAAACACATGGCACGAAGCGAATTCTTTTGGACACAGCCCCAAATGAGCAGCCCAAAGGTATTTTTCTACACACTTTGTTGCTGCGGTACGGGACTTTCAGGACCGTCGGCCATTGTGATTTTCTTTTTTTTTTTTTGGAAATTATTGACGAGAATATGGTTCGTCCCTGCAAGAACTGGGAAGATTTAGCAGCTGTGTTTACAGCGATTGATCTTGATAAGATTAGATTTTCGTACCTTGAGGAATAAATTTCTTTTTATTAATATCTGTCCGTGTAGCCCAGCGAATGGAATGGTGTTCACTGCTAGATCGCTATGCAATTCAACAAGAGAGAGAGCGGAAATTAAGTTGTCCAAAGACCTGCTGTGCTGGCACGAATACTCATCAACGATTCCAGCCTGCCTAATGGCACCAAAACTTTTTTTGGTACCTATCGACACAAAATATGTCAAACAGAGCAAAATCCACAAACAGCGCAAACATGAGCCAGCTTCTAATTGGCTCGTTAGCGAACCAAGCGTATTTATTCCGGCCGCAGTTCAACAACAATCACGATTTCATCATGTTCCACGTCGCTTTTCTGCTGTGCTTCCTTAAAGCATGCCACTTCTGCTACTAACAAGATGGACCTGTCATGCCACCAAGCCGGTTATCATCTGAGCCGAATTACGCCAGGATGAAGCTATATTTGATCCGTCACGCAGAGTGTGGACATAACGTGGGACAGGCAGCGTACGCGTCTTCTGTTGACCTCAGTAGAATGGCAGCTGACAGTCCTTTCATATCGTCGGAATCCGCAGAGGCGACGAAAGTGGCCACTACCTGACAGAGAACGGCAGGACGCAAGTCCGTTTGCTCGCTCGAAGCCTCAGGGATCGCATGATTCGCTTCACTCATGTTTTCTCGTCGGATCTTGATCGGGCTTCGGAAACCGCGCAAGGTATCTGCCAACAACAGCTGGCAAGTGGCGCGTTGTTGGCCCCGATACAGGTCCCGAGTCTTCGGGAGCAACAGTACGGCTCTCTTGAAGGTACACGGTGGCATTCCGGTGCTCCTGCTTCCAGCATCAGTTCCCCGGATGCTTTGCGTGGAGGTGAGCCCACGTATACCGACGAGGAGTCTGTCGTCTCCATGCGGACTCGTATGAATGCATTTTTGCAAGATCACATAATGCCTTTCCTGGTCAATGCAGATGTCGCAAACGAGGAGGTCATTGCTGTTGTTGCTCACGGCGTCATTCTCCAGGTTCTCTGGGTTTGTCTCGCGGATTTATTCAATCAAAGAGATATCCACCTTGGACCTGGTGTCGGACAAGCCGACTTTGGGGACTACGTGCGTCCTGTATGGTCGAATACCGGCGTCATGGAACTGGACATCCGGCCCGCATCGATCGTACCACCGTACGTCCGTGATGCGGCGCGTCCACCTCCTTTCCTGCTCGGTTCCATGCAGCGACCCGAGTCATTCGAGGCCCCGCTCTCTGGATGGTCAATGACGGTTATGGCCGTCGATGATACAACTCATCTTGACACCACGGCGCAGCAGGTTGAGCGCACGGGAGGGACTGTTCGCAATACTCTCCAACCGTCTAGGCAGGAGACAGCCAATCAGTTTTATCGGCTAACTGTGACAGCATGATTAACATCTTAGGTCTTATGGACGCAGATTTGTGCTTCAACAGGTACGATACATTATCCCCTCATATCACATTTCTCTTTTCCTTGCCTTCCCCTCCTTCCACCCTTAGGGTCACCTCCTATGATGAAGCAAGATTTCACACAGACCTGTTCTGAGTATTCTATGCGGATCAATAATCGTTCCAACTGCTGTCTGAGAAAGTGACCCTTACTTTTCTTGTTCCACTCGATAGCGCCTCCTCATGACTTTTACATTGATGACTTACTTTAACAAAGTATATTAATTCTTTACAGTGAGACAGAGACGGACTGTTCCGCGCAGGCCGCCGCGATGCCCTGCCACTTATTCATTGATGTCAATACACTTTAGACTCGGTTACTAAACCAATTACATATGAAACCAAATTGCAATGTCATTATCATTGAGCGCCGTGTCATCATCTACATGCGTTATAGTCGTATAGCTATGCAAATTAGTATGTACAAGTATTTACGCCGACATTGCACAGCCGAAGCGGCTCAGCTGCAGACTGATCTTTTCAATGTCCCCGCACGTATCTTGTCCTGCTCCAATCCGCAGTATTGAAAACAAAATCACTCGAATAACCCACCGGGTCTTCCCTCTCGTACAATATCTCCGGCTTCACCTGGCGACGCAAGATGTACCTCTTAAAGAAGTACGGGATCTGGCGCAGCCCATATGCCGCGTGGAACCGCGTCGGCACCGAAAACACCTGGTCCAGCTCCTCCAGCGTCTTCCCCTTTGTCTCTGGCATGAACAGAAGCACTAGCACGAATCCGATCAGATTCCACGCAGCATACCAGCAGAACGCGCCCTGGTCTTTGAATGAATCGTGCAGTGAGGGCCACGTGATCGCCAGGAGGAAGTTGAAGAGCCAGGTTGTTGCCGTCGCTAGGGCCATGCCGTACGAACGGACGTAGAGTGGGTAGGCTTCTGCCGAGTAGGTGAATGGCACTGGACCCTCGCCGACGGAGTAGACCACGCCGAAGAGATAGAGGCCTAGGGCGACGCAGGCGAGCTGCGCGTTGCTGTGTTCCGAGGTAGGAATGTAGAAGCTGAAACCGGTGAAGAACCAGGCGAGGGCCATGAGAGGGAATGTAGTGAGGAGGAGATTGCGACGGCCGAATGTGTCGATTGTGTAGACGGCGGGGATGGCGAAGAGCCAGTTCACCACGCCCCAGCCGAAGGATGTGGCTAGGGCGTTTCGGGCTGATGTCACCTTGATGAAGATTTCGGACGAATAATACGCGATAATGTTCACGCCACATAGCTAGATAGTTGAGTTAGACAGACGGAAAATTTGCAATGACTGGAGTGTTGATTACCTGTTGCAGGAACATGACGATCTCGGATGCGATTAGGGCGCGCCGGTTTCGAGGCACGGCGATGAGTTCTATCATCTTGTTCTGGCCGAGCTTCATTCCTTTCTCTGCTTCCAGCAAGGTGTGCATGTAATAAAGGTCTCGAGCGGCCTGGATCTTGTGCGCGCGCAGGCTGCACATCGATTCATAGGCCTTGTAATAGCGGTTCTGGGACATGTACCAACGCGGCGACTCCGGACAGGAAAATACAAACAAGCAGACCAAGATAGCTGGAAACATGGCAGAGGCCATCATGAGGCGCCAATTGAGCCCGACAATGTTTGGAGGATCTGGGACCTCGAAGAAAGCAAGGTCCGCAGCATAGCCCAACATGATGCCAAATGCAGTCCACATCTGCCACTGCATCACCAAAGCACCACGAATAGCAGGAGGAGCAGTTTCGGCCGCGTAGATGGGAACAGTTGCGGACTTGGGACCGATGCCGAACCCCAGGACGAACCGGGAGATAAACATATGCCACCAGGTGTTGACGAACCCTTGCCACAGGCAAGCGATGGCGGAGAAACAGCATGTAATGAAGATGGTCCCGCGGCGACCAAACCATGCGTTGAAAGGGACTGCCAACCAGCAACCAAGGACGGCGCAGCACAGATATGGCGCGGCGTTCACCAACCCGAGCAGCCAGCGAGACCGCGAGGTTTCGTCGTCAATGCCGAATTGCGTCTTGTAGAAGATCTGAGCGCCATTGACAACTGTTTCATCTGTCGAAAGCGGACTTAGCTTTAGCACTAGGTACACAAGTGTGGCTGTTTCTGACACTTACCCATTCCTTGCACCGCTGCTGAGAGAGAGCACAAGGCAATAACCAAATACATCGTCCAGGGTTGCGACCAACGATGAGTGAACTCGAGATGTAAAATCTCGAATTCCTCTTCCGTTAGCAAGTTTCTGAAAGAATCGAACTTTTCAGGCTCCTGGGCCAGAAGGGCGCCTAACTCGAAAGCGCGAATGTCCGTTTCGTCACCCATATGGTGATCTATAGCGAATTTGATTCCTTGACTGCGCAGCTCCTCATGGCTATAACCTGCCAATGGATTGGCAAGTTTTGCATTCAAGTTGCGTCGTGCTCGCTCTGCGGCCGTTAGATATCTGCGCTGAGGCACGGTGGTGGTCCTTTCTGGCGCATGTTCGATATCTTCCACTCGTTGTTCGACGGCACCGTCCCCGAAAATGTCGAAATCACCAGGTGCTGGCATCTTCTAATGAACAATCAAGCGAATCTGATGTATGCTTCTGATGCCTGCAAATGGCGGCGCCGTTGTTAGATAGGTCGGAAAGAATCAACACAATTCACTGAATTGTATCTTTGCATCACTGGACACTAATATTGCAGGAGGTGATCGACGCAAGTTGATGGATTTGAAATATCTCACGGTTTGCCGTGCTGAGTAGATTAATTGTAGCCTTGGATACCATCAAAGAGAAAATTTCTAATGAAAAGATTCGAAACCACAGGGCTGAAACTGACCATCGGCACTGAATACTAGCATAAATGGTAGCAACAAAGAAAGGCAGAGAAGGCGAAATATTTCTTTGGGAGCCTTCGAGGACAAAGAAGCAAGGTGCTGGCTGCGCAGGAGAAGTACATCCATGAGCACGATGCCCTTTGAGCAGAGCCCCAGGCACGAAGACTCGAGGCTTTTCAGTGACGATAGAGATCCACTGATAATGCTGCGGTCATCCATTGATTTTTCTACTCATCTCTCTCCCCCTGCCCATACCCACGAAGGGTGTCAGCAAACAATGGTCATTGGTGGCCGCTGAGCAATAAGACCGAGGAAAATGCCAAGGATGCAGACAATGAAAGCAATGAGTCTCGTATTCCGCCCCAGTTGCCGTACAGCCACGTCAAATCGCTCTGTTGGTCTATTGTCCTGTTGAAATCGCGGATCTCTGGGGCTGTTTCAATCCTCTTCTGGTGCTCGCTGATGCTGATCACCTCGAAGTGGATTCATCCATTCTTCAAAGGCAAATGATTACTCAGGTCATAAATTGATGCGCTAGATCACATTTGGAGAATAAAAATACAGATACCAAAGAAATGGGACGCCCGAACCAGCAGTGGTTGGTTA